AATAGTCGCAGCTCATAGTTGATTGTTGTAGGCAATCCCCCCCCCCCGGCTTGCGTGACAGTTTCTTAGGGAAGAAACTAGAATATCTCCAAGAAATATGAAAAAATGTGATAGGAAGCCAGGAAAAGTCGGCAAGATGGCAGGTAGGATAGGGAGCTGGAGCCGTAGCAGAGGACGAAATTTAGGCGAGGGGATCATATTTTCCAAACAGCTAGCGACAGGATACCCCTGCTCATAGAAGGTTTTTCTGGGATAGGGAGCCGTTCTGGCTACCTTCGCCAAGTCCAGCAGGAAAAATAAAAAAGTGACCAGGATAACGAAAATACAACCAAGACAAATCAAAATTAGCGAATATTTGCAAAATTTAATGCCACTTCCAGCTACACGGCAATATGTGGGAGTGACACCCCCAATCGATGCGAGAAAAATTGAGTCTACTGCAGTTTGATACTGAAATTACACAGGCTTTTATCAGAGCAGCTGAGAATGGGCAAACTCAGACGAAAGTTCAACGGTAGCAGACTTGTTTGGCCATAAAGAAGCCGGTGGTCGCTACTTGTTGACTCTACCAGTAAACAAGAAATAAATGGAACCTGGCAGAGCCACGCTGATCAGTCACACTGTGCAAATATAGACCGTGCAGTAGCCCGTTGGTAAAAATCAGACCAGATGATGATGGATGTGTCGTCGTCAAATTACGGTAACATGCCGGGAACGCGGCCCGAACGCCTGATGGCAGGATTGAAAGCAAGAGTGATTGAGGCCTGGTGTTTGTTCTAGCGCGGCTCCAAACCCTGTAACGGATCCAACGGACCATCTGGCTATGAGAAACATGCACCAGTTGACTCTCACTGGCGCACGATTAGCGGGGTTAGCAACGAATAGTTATGTTGGAGTACAGTGACTGAACTTCGCAGTTGATTGCCAGCTTGGGATGAGCCATGCACTTGTTCATGTACAAAAGAAGAACACACCAACAGTTGGAGGCAGCAAAAGATCGGGCTGTATAAAAAGAAATTCTAAAGGTTTTCACCAGAAAATAGTAGTCTTAGCTTTAATTTAATGGCTAATACCATATGGTAATGTAGCTTCAATTTTTTACCTGAAAGCTACTTTATAGTGATGCGAATTTCCGCCTCCAAAATGCGTGAATGGAATCAAGCTATAGTGCGCAGCATAGAAATTGACGCCTATCCAAGCAACGCATTCATGCCTCTGGGGATAAATAAACAGTATTTTGAGAGCTGTACTATCCGCCTTTTTGCTTATGAAGCGACCTCATCACAACTAAGTATTTAGCCACCTGAATTTCTCCAACCCCCTGTTTTGTGCACATATTTTTTCTTGAAAATTCTCTTCGATTTCTCGCATAGAAAATCGCTGTCGAGGCGGAGGAGGGAATCTGAAACACGGCAAAATTACCCCGAAGTCAACAACGCGAAACAATTTTTCTCAGAAGCAATATGACCCAGACACTTCAAGCACAAAATATACCACTGCCCGTAATGGCTGCTTGGTTTGGCTTGAGAATCCCGTCGCGGTGATTGGAACAGCGCCATAGTTTTTGCGCTGTAAGGGAGACCATACCAATTAACACTTTTGGTTTGGAATCAACAGTTTCGATCATCTCGCGACATTTACTGAAGATCCTGAGCCTCCCGATTTTCGAGCAGTCGAAACATGTTACCGATGAGCCACACGACTGATTTGACGTATGCTTATGCTTCACAGCCCACCAAGCCATCCACCCTGCGCACCATTGCAAACTTTGTAACCTATCTCATAACTTGCTTGTGAAATTGCAGGTGTAGTTTGCTATCTATCTTTGTAAATACCCTTGAAGAATACCGATCATCCCAGTTTCCCAATTCAAGTCATGAAAATTGGCGACTCCTGTTAGCTGTTAGAGATCTGGGATTTTTCAAGGCGCTCTTCCAGTAAGGCGCGACATATTGGTGCAATAGTTCGTGTGAACTACGGTAATATGCGCCGGAGTCCGATTGATCTGCGAAGCGCTGGCAGCTCTGTTCCAGCGTCTGTTCTTAGAACTGTAGTGCTTAAAGAGCGTTCAGTGCGCGCTGAGCTGACGGCTGCAGAAATATATGGAGGCCCAAAATGGGAGTTTCAGCCTGAAACAATGGGAAGTTCAGAAAGGGCACGAGAATCACTCTGTTTAGGGTGCTGTTTCTACTGCCACTCAAAATTATTGTGGCTTATTGAATGCGATGTGAGCAATGCGACGACTTGCGGCGACCAGCCGAAGTCGGTGTTCTTATCCTCCCAGACAAACCTGATGCCAATTCACCGTCCCGAAAGGGTAGAAGGCCTGACTGGCCTAAGCGGGAGCTGGAACTCAAGGTCTATATATAACAAGAAATGGGTGTTGGTGTTTTTGAATATCTTGAGTGCTCTGCACGAAAAACACCACCCTTATTGGTGTAGTGTCAATTTCAAGAATAGAGGAAAGAAGAAGAGCAGTGTGAGTTAAGAGGTCACAGAAGGAATCAGTTGCTCGAACGTCTCTAATGCTCAGTGGTGTGAATGCAAATAAACACCAAGAAAAAAACTGAAAAATGACCAGGAAAGTGGAGCGACTGGAGTGGCCGGCGCTAGGAATATCTGACCCCAGTAGGCTAGCTAGATCGATCGGATGCAGCTGATCAGACAATTAGCAGATCATTCAGTGCCACAGATTTGTATGAAAATTAGAGAAAATTATGGGAATCGATAGGCAAATATTTGGATGGGAGCTTCATGCCACGAAGTTCTCGGACTGGAGTAGGCACTCAGTGGGTATGGAATAGGCTGCGTCAGTGATACCCTTTACCTGAAAGTTTAGAAATGGACGTAACCTTGGTTCTATAATGGTAGTACACTTGTCTAAAAGGCGTGAAATCCGTCTATGAGTCCCGGGTCATAGGAAGGGCTTTGCACGGAAATCAGCAACTTTAGGACGAACTTTAGCACCGTGAGAAACAGGGTTTAGGGATTCCGAACTCAACTCGAGTGGAACCCAAAACAATGGAGAAATAATGTGAGCTGCTCACAATATAAGATTTGCTGGGTTTTATTCAAGGCTTTTTTTTGATGCGAGGATCTACCGGGACCGGTTTAGCCTCTGGAGTCCATTCACTGGGCCAGGGTAAGTGCAAAAACCGTGTTTACCCTGGAACTTGAGTCAGGAGGGATGAAGAAAAAAGCTCTCTGAAATTTTCTTTCAGATCGTAGTGCTTATTTGAATGCATGGCCTTAATAATTAACTTACTGGGGCCAGCTGATATACAAGTGTTCTTACCCTCCAGACGATTCCCGGTGAAATAGAATGCTTAGTTGGCCTGGGCTGGGATTTCACTCGAGAATTCGTAATCCCAAACTGCGCGAGTGGGTAAGCGGCACTTGTCATCACACCATTTCCACCCAGTTTTAGTATATGTTCAGGATGAAAATAAGCCTAGACGAATTACTGCAATGGCTTGACCCAGTTCGGTATTTGTCTTTTCTACTCGCGGGCCCTATGTATCCACGAATAATAAATAAATTAATTAACTAATAAAATCCAAAATAAAATCATTAGCTAGAATAAACAAGACTCGGTCTGGATTAGCGGCGTGCTAGCAAGCCACCCAGCGTTATACCTTGTACTTTTCATTCAACTGGCTCTCTGATTCCAAATGGGAGCCCCAGCGCGAGGACTAGTCCGAACAGGCTGAGCAGTACTGACCGCATTCCGGAATGCACTTATTGCGCTCGTCCATGTACAGGTAAGTAAAGAGAGCTCAGTCAAGCATGAAACAAAGGTCTGCACTCTATGTGACCCATGTTAAAAGCCCTGCACTCTTTGAGAAGGGCTATTATTAGAAAAACTTGGGCAGTTCCATTCTCGCTGTAATTTTTTCAACTGTAATTTTCCGCAATTAGTCCTATTCCAGCAAGTTGGTCTTGATTGAGCCGGAGTTACTTAAGAGAAAGGAAATCATGCGGAATGTGGAACCTTCGCCATAGTCTCTGGTTGCTATGGTGGTTCCGACTACAATACAGCGAACTGATGAGAGATATTCTGTGAGAAGTTTTGCCTGCAATTGAGGAGCTAGATTCGAAGAGAGAGTAAAAAGGAAGAAAAGGAAGGGCTATGATCCCCATTATCCATTTGTGAGCTCATTATGAACCTAAATTTGGAGTACTTAAAGATATTATTGAACTGACAAAGTTATTTAAAATTGAGGCATGGAAGCGAAGGATGGAAGAGCACGGTAATACGAGACAATCTTTGCCAAAGACCCCATGGGCTTAAGTGATAAGCTAGGAACGCACCCTACGAGTACTTTCGGGAACCAAAAAGGCTCATCGTTGAGATTTGCAGAACCATGTCACCTACAGTCTTGTTCGCTGCAAATGCCAGGGCGTGTAAGGGCGGGGCTTGGATTGGCGCAGCGCCAGCCTGTCCCCCACCAACAGTTGAAGCGGGAGAGCGATTACAGGGTGAAAAAGGGGCTTTACGAGATCGGATTCCACGAAAATGCCTTCGAGTGAGAACTTATCCAGTGGTATTAGCTAGAGAGCATGAGACACCTCATGAACCAATCATACCACAGAGCTCAATTTCCGCATATCATAATGTTTATACTTACTGAGATTTGAATGATTAGCTATAATCAAATGGAAAAAGATTTCGCCTATGAGCAATCCCATCCTGATATGCGCCAAGCATCCTACTAGCATTCCGCATCGTAGTGGCATTTGAACATAGTCAGACAACGAATTGCGTGGAGCAGCCAATGTACAAGGCAAAATTTC